AAAGTGAACATGTTGCATTGTTTTTTGTTGCATTGAGATTTAATTTCTTTTGATAGTATTTTTGAATACTATGCGTCTCTATACATAATTTAAATCACTTTTCCTGTTAAGTTTGTGTACTTACATACATTAAAATACGATTTTTCAAGTGTACGAATATTTATTTCCCCCCACTGTATATAGTCATCAACTGCGCGTCAAGTAACACGACGTAACTCAGGGAAGACCCGCCTAAGGAGGGCTGTGGCTAAACGTCGGATTAAGTCGAATTGAATAAATAGCCTGGGCAAAGCAAAGACACAATTCGATTAAGAGAGCAACGATGCGTCGTAATTAAATCTCGGGAACTGTGATTAGAAATGATGGCATGAAACTACACAGATTTACGGAATATTCAACGAAACTTTACTGCATGTAAAAAATGTACTATCAAAAATAACCTCAGACTACGAAACCTAAAATATTTAATGAACGAATATAAAATCGACGTTTTTTGCCGTTATTCAAACTTAGGCAAACAGCCTTCAGCTGCAGTCATGCAGCTAACTCTAGACAAGCTCACATCATCTTAGACTCTGGCACTCATACCAATACGCAGTGTTGACTCTATACATAATTTAAATCACTTTTCCTGTTAAGTTTGTGTACTTACATACATTAAAATACGATTTTTCAAGTGTACGAATATTTATTTCACCCTACTGTATATTATATATGTATTATAGGTACCTATTTATTTTACTTTTTTCTGAACAATTTTTTTTCCAGAGGAACCAAGCTATTTCGATTTATTGTTTGATTCCTTGAATTATTGATTATCCTGTTGAATTATTGTTGATTTATCTCGGGTCATTTATTTTATTTCATGTAGATGGCGTACCTTTTTTCTTGTATATTTTTCTTACGTATATTTATCATTTCGTTCTATGAAGTGATAAATATAAAAAGTCCTTTACATTATATTCTATTATAAATAATAATAAAAATAATTTTATATCATAAAATATAAGCTAAATTTGCCATTTTTAATTTATTCCCTGCTAGATTAGGGTTTAACCCCCCCCAACCCCCAGTGTATAGAACCCCCAATGGGGAGGGGGGAAGGGGGAAAGCACCCCCTCCCGCCAGTGAATTTCCCTCTTTTTTCCCCTAAATCGCCGCGACAATTTCCCCATCCCGCCTCGAGGCTAAATTTTCCCACGAAGGTCGACCCCGTGGGAAAAAGTGCGGGTTTTTTCCCACGCTTCGTGACCCCCAAACCAACCCCCAGTGTCTACTAGAACCCCCAATGTGGGGAGAGGGGGGGAAAACACCCCTTCCAGCCAGTGAATTTCCCTCTTTTTTCCCCATAAATCCCCGCGACAATTTCCCCATCCCGCCTCGAGGCTAAATTTTCCCACGAAGGTCGACCCCGTGGGAAAAAGTGCGGGTTTTTTCCCACGCTTCGTGACCCCCAAACCCCCCCC